CATCGGCATAATGGTGCTTGAAAAAGTTAATTCTATTCAGTTTTTGTGCTATAAGAAACTGTAATGTTGAATGAAATGTTTGGTTTACAACGGCGAGTCGTTACTAGTACTTAATGTCATCTAAACATAGCAACTGTCTTCCTTTTGTCTATGCCTCCCTTCATAGCAGTTGAGAAATGTTTATGAAAACTCAAGTGTATATCTTTGCCTCTTTAGTTTTATATGTCTGAGGGATTAAATAGTGACCATTGTCCAACATATGTGGGGGGCCCGGGGGGTCAAAGTGTTATCTACCAATGACTGGGTTGCCCAGGAGAATTGTTTGATTGAGCTGGTCCCCAAGTTTCCGAGCAAATAGTCAATTTTAGCTATCATTGTTCTACTGGACGGAAAGAGGTATTTGAGGTTTGTAGTAGTGGGGATATGGTGACTGGATGTGGTATGGAATTAGCCTCTGTGTGACTGAGCATAGCGTCGCACTGGGCTTCACTACAACAGTCTACCCGTTTAACAAACACATAGCGCCACTCAAAGACCTTCCTTACAAACAGAGGAGGACAAATACAATAGGGAACATTATAACCACTGAAACAACACGTACCCGCATCTTCTAATCGCTAGAATAGATATCTCTGGCTGATTGGCACAGGATGAGTGTCATACATGTCAAACTCAAACTCATTTCACGCTCATTTGGCCCTAGAGGGCTGTCAATTGACACTTGTGACGTATGATTGTCAGTCCCTCTGGCTTTACACAACTTATTGTGTAGCTTACATGTAGGTGGTGCATTGGATTTTCGTGCCACCCTCCACAAAACATAAACTTCCAAAACTTTTCATCTGTAGCACATTTTCCAACATTTCAGGGGCAGCTACAAGGCAAAGATAGTCGGATTATCTGTTAAAAATTAACGCCTTGAAAACAGTTTTGATAGCATGGTTGATTGGGGCGGGGAAGTGCTTAGCAACGGACGATACAACCTGTATGTGAAACTATAGGTCTCAAATAAAGCATGGACTAGTCTTGTACTAAATGTCCATTTCCAACTAGTATCGCTTTATAATCTCCTGGTTGATTCTTGAGTGTTATACCAAGGACATTATATTGTATAATGTCCTTGGTTATACCGACAGTTTGTCGCTTTCTTAGTATGTCAAGTTTCCTTCTGCTTCTTCTTATTTTCATGTATATGCACAGTCAATGTGCTCTTATATTTAAAGCACAAAACCTTTAGGAAATGGTATCTGTCTTCTTCTGTTTTAAACATCCACTGACTACGGGCCAACATTCCCCAACACGCAGAAAAAGAACAGTTTGAAATTCATGGGAAAATGAGACAAGAAATAATTTCAACAAACTCAACGGGTCACCGATCGCGTGATGACCACCACCAACAACTATCCTAAAACCCACCACGACCTACTCTCCAAGCAGCTGAGGTTTAGACTTATTTTGACGTCTTTTTAGGCGTTTTTTAACATGCTTAAGTTTTTTGTAAGGTGTCTGTTTTTCGCCAGCCAAAATACATGTACGGTGGCGTACTGGCTACTGCACTGCCAATTTGATACTGTCTTGCCAGTACGGTACTGTCTTGTAGTCACAAAAAGATCTACTTGGAGATTACAGCGTCCAAGAAATTGATCAGAAACAATAGCCCAGTATTCTTCCTCTATCGTAAGAATTACCTACTATACATCTTTGCGAAGGTGTTTAGTACAATGTTAGACTGGAAAAAACATTGCCAAGGGGCCCGTTAAGGTAGTCTTCCCTAAGCGGGTCTTGACGCAGAGATTTTAGTCTACACACGTTTAACTACATACTTAAGCTCACCACAGGGTATCATATAACAGCTTACATGTCTATTTTAGAAGTAGAACTTCTAAAAGACAAGCTGTAAAGCCACATACACCTTGTTTGACAATGAAAGGATGTGTGGCCGCTATTGTAATGTGGAGTTACTTATCCTTCTTAATCTTGTTAAGCACGCCTTAGTTCCCACCTCTTTTGTTGTCGGTACGAGGTTGTAACCTACTCAGATGGCACTAAGATTTTCTTAAGTACAAGAGGAGTGAAAGTTACCCACCCTTTGCATCAACTTGAGTCGTAGTTTTGTCATCTGATCAGTGAGATTTCTCGTGTCTGTAGCCGCCATGATGGCCGCTGTGCCGTACTGTACCCGTAACACACCTGTTCTGCCTAGCAGCGTTACCTGCACACAGGTGTTTTGGACCGTAACCTGTGAACGTTTATTTGAAGAGCGCGTGACGTCATTGTTGGGCAGTGCCAGCGAGGTTGTTCGGGAAGGTGACGCGGCAAGGCCCCATAGCGACACGGTAACGCGCTGGCTATATCATCAGGCAAATAGATTCAACTACATTCTCGTTGTTAAGCTATTCAGGCAACATTAATTTTATAGGTTGTAAGGCCACACCAATTTAACTTGTTGGTTCTCGGATTTTTTCAGAAAAAATATGAAGCGACAGGGCGAAAAAAAAACAGGTCTAGGCATCCTATTATAGGCTTAAATGCTACGGAATGAGCCATGAAGTCAACACAAAAGGCTGGGTTAAAATTTAAACATTGAATTTTTAACTTTTAATCAAACCACTGCAATGATAGCTGGGAAAACTGTAACAACTAGAAAGAAAAGGACTTTCCTCAACTGTTGGGGCCAAAACATGAGCATTTTTCAGTTGATTCAGGACCAGAATCAATTTTTTTTTTTTGCAAATCAGAAAAAAACGAAGAGGCGAATCCGAGAACCAACAAATTAAATTGGTATGGCCTAAGCATGCAATGAACCACGCCATTGGGTTATATTGAAAATAACTTTTATTTTTGATATACATGTAAGTCCATGTGAACTTAGGTATAAACCAGTATGTGTTCAAATTGATTTCATGCTGGAGAACTAACTCAACAAAACACCTGAACACTTGAAATTGTAACTTTACTAAATTCTACATTGTCTCTATTCTAGTGCTCAACATGTAATAACATTGTAATTATGATTCTAAATTCTACTGTTTAACACGGATTATATATTTTGAACTTCATCTACTCAGTAAAATAAACTAGAAGAAAACAGATTGGCTTAAATTAACTCAACTAAACATACAACTTCAATCATATTCACTATTCTATTTCACATGATTTCATGTATCCACTGGTCAAAAATGGTTTGCAAAATTATTACACCATAACCAGTTCATTCTGTATTGGGTCCTTGCTCATGTAGGTGTTGAATATGACATTTTCCTTGCATTTAGTTATGTGATAGATATAGAGGAACACACTATATGCTGTTAGCACTCCTCTGTTAGTGGAGGCCACATTCAGTTTTTGTTCATAAACCTTGGCCAAAGTTGTGGATGGCCAGAAGGTTAAACCTTATTTCAAAATCATTGAGTGGAGTGTAATTTTTGTTTGGAAATCTAGACAGGGTAGAGGTAAATCATTAGACAGGGCTCAGTGTCACAAGTGAGTCCTGTCAATAAAATTGGCAAATCTCTAAAAATGATGAAAATGTTCTTTTAGAGCTTGCAGACAGTTATTTTCCTACTGTGTGACGGTGTCACAGTGACTATTTCATATTTACTGGTCCATTGTTCCAATCTATACACTGACTGTAGTCTTTAATGACTCAATCCTATAAAACTGTGCACAATAAAAGGTTGAGAGTTTTAATGTATTAAGTCCATACTGTAAGAGGAAACTTTAAAGGTGCATTGTATGTGTGTTAAAAGCAAATTGAAAGTACTTATGGTAATACACAGTACCGGTACTGTACCAGGAAAATCTGTGCGGTACACAGGTCCAAAATAATGAATGATGTCAGTAACACATGATAAGAAGTTATTGAACTTGAAATTCATATCAAATCAGAATCCCATAAAGAATTCATCTTCTAAGTCAACATTCAAAATGTTCGTTGATAAACCTTTAACAGAGGATTAAACATCTTCATTTCCTCTCCTCCCTAGAGCTGCTTCTATTTCTTAAAAGATGAATCTGAAGTATTAGGGCTTCAGATGTTCTCTACACAATGTAATAGTTCAGTAAAATTCAGCATCGTATAGTCAGAGAACCCAGGTTATAAAAAAAATCCAACATGCTGGGTTTGTAATACCCACTTGCACACTCTTGCCATGCATTCTTGCTTTCTGTGCAAAACTAATATTAATACTGGAGATGCCAGGTTAACTTTGGTGAAAGTTAATCATTTTTCTGTTGCACCCAAAGTTTACAGTGGCCCAGCTTCTTAACTACATTGCATCCTGTCTCAGTCAGCATGCGAGAAATACCTTTACAGGTGGCCTGGCTTACAGCTTGCCTTCTGAACAGCCAGTGTTGACGGCAACCTGAAATATTCATGGCCAACCTAGCGGACAACCTGAGAAAAAAGTACTTCGAACCCTGACATGTCATTTAGAAAAATGTCAAAATCTCTCGAGTGCAAAAAAAGGAACTGTATGATTCCTCTTCCCAGGGTTCAAATTGTTTCAACATGCACTCCTGCCCACCCCTCCCCCTGTGAATGGACCAGCCCTTATTGTGACACCTGCAGCTTTGTTCTTTTGGTCGGGGAAGCTGTGGATTGTGGGATAGCTGCATCATGGGTATCCTCCACTGCTGGGGCATCTGGAAAAAAGAAATGTTATGGTGTCATAATAAGATTAAAAGATACCAAATAATTTTCAAAAGTTCATTACTGACTGGCTTATTTGTTTGTTTCAATCCAACTAAACACAACCCAACTTTTTCAGAAAGAAAGTCAAATTCCAGAAGTTAAAGCATTAGCTTGACTAAGCAAGTTTGAAGGTTCAGAAGAACATATTATTTGTCCAGACCTGTACCTGAACATCTGTATAAGGTACATTTACCTCTACATGAAGTTAAATTTAGGTACATAGCCCTAACAGCACATTTTGAAACTTGCATTTTCAACATTTAAAATAGCCCCAAAACAGGTTTGAAATGAGTATATTTGGCTAGACTTGCCTTTAATGGCTGTGAAAAGCTGTGACATGTCTGTTCCCTCAGTGACAGGCACGTCGATAATGTCATCCCAGGGCACCTCAGGGGCCTCGCAGCTGTTGAAGTTTGGGTCTTGGTTCATATGGCAGTACCTGAAGATGTGGAGACCACATTTAAGATTTACAGCTTCTTTATTGAAACTTGTTGCGCGAGCCCTATTGTATCCAGAACCATGCCTATATCTTGTTCTTACAATGCCTGAATATGGTTAGGATCAGGCATGGCTCTGGATAAGTATCAGCATGTATTCAAGAACAACTAGATTTGGCCCAGGTACAGTTCTGGATATGTGTGTAGACTATCCAGAAATGTACATGAGCATGGTCCTGGATAAAGCCCTTTTTGAATTTGGCTGACATATTTGAGATTATATGCTGGCATGAGTGTTCAGAGCATTGCCTGAGTCTTCCTTAATTTAGCATCAAGTGTTGCCAAGGTCCCCGCATGCAGACCCTCGCAGACGTACCACTTGTCCGGCAGCTCGTGCGGGTGGGCGTCAGGTGACAGCTGGCGCCACTTGTCACAGGTGTCGCACTGCACCCACATGGCCTGGTTCACCAGCTGCAAGACTGAGGTAGGCATTGTTTGATATATATACATATGACATTGATACAAACTTTCATTAAATTATCATTATCAATAAAGTTGTCTCGCTGCAATCCTAATTTACGTAGTATTATGTAGTAAAAGTCTGCTCACTGGGTAGGGGCAATTTTGACTTAATTCACTTAATAGCAAAAGTTCACAGTCTAATATGTTGCAGGTGCAGCAAAAATGGTGAATTATAATATTACTAAACAGTAATGATAAGTTTGCAGTACAGAAGTAACTGCAAAACCACTATAACACATCAGCGTACCACAAAAAAATCAAGAATTTATAATACAGGACTGTATCCCTATGACAAAATATCTCTCCATCTCAATGCTAACCCAGAGTACTGTATACACATAACAAGAGCTGCAATACCTGGACTCTTTCTCTTATACTTTCTTTTCTTCCCTCCCGTTGTCCCCACCACGGTCAGGTCACTCTCCCGTGGACGCAGGCGTGAGGGGGTGGGGGAAGACTTGTCCTTGGTTGCGGACTGAGTCTTGGGCGTCCGCACTCCTCCGTAGTTCCAGCTCGGGTGCTCGTTACGGATCTTCTCCATTTCATCAAAGAACTCCTGACTGTGGATTATACAAAACAAGTAAGTATTATACACGTGTCAAGATGAAACAATATACCGGTAAACAGGAGAGTGATGAATACTCATTTGCTCACTGACTCACTGACTGACTGACTCACACTCACTCACGCATGCACGCACTCACTCACTCACTCACTCACTCACTCACTCACTCACTCACTCACTCACTCACTCATGAATTATCTGATGAATAACGTGTTTATCATCATTGTATGAACAAAAAAGTCATATATTGCTTCTGATGAATTTCGATTGATCAGTACTTTACCCAGTAGCCTGTTATGTGTCAATGGTAATCAGAAAATGGCCCATACCACAGTGCCACCTGTCAAATATCTTATGTACTGCAGTTGCAATTTTCTTCTCCGACAGACATTGCACTGTTGTTCAGTTTGTTTACCATAGCATAGGTGGAGAAAATTGCTCATTACATGCACATGGCCTACATCACAACGCCACCTGTCAAACATTTTATGTACTGCGGTTGCATTTTTTTCTCTCCCACAGACATTACACTGTTGTTGAGTTTTGTTTACAATGGTGTGGGCCGAGAAAATAGATCATTACACACAGCTGTTACAACATAAATAAAATCATTACGGCACTATAGTCTCATGGACATTTTTGAAAATTTGTGTCAATATGTTTGTCTGACTAATGATGTTTACTGACGTCTTCAAAAGGAAATTACCCCATCTGTCATTTATTCTGCCACACTCTGAGATGAGTGGCAAGCTGCAACCTAGTTTAGGTTTTATGTAACTTATTTGTGTTATGTAAAAAATGGATCATGATTGTCCCTGAGCCACACCAAACTGTTCACAGATATGCTGTACATGTAAAATGCTCTAATTTTAGTTTAGCCGCATTTCAGCACCAAGGACAAACACGCATGGTTGTTTTGAACAGTAACGACATTCTTTTTTTACTGATTCAAATCCCACCTAGGCAAGACCAATTTAACTTGTTGGTTCTCTGATTTTTTTTCAGAAAAACATTAGCAACAGGGCAAATAAAAAGCAGGCCTAGGCATCCTATGATAGCCCTGTAAGAAGACAATATTCTTCAATTATTGGGACGAAAATATGAGCATTTTGGAGTTGATTCAGAACCTGAATATTTTCCTCTTTCTGCAAATCAGAAAAATATGAAGGAGGCAATTCCAGAACCAAGTGATTACATTGGTGCGACCTTAGATCTATAACGTTATAACTATCAACATAGTCATACTCATCATTTACAGTATAGACAGAGAAAGGGAGGAGGTTTTCTGTAGTTGTCGGAATTGTTACTCACGTGAAGGGCCTTTTCTCCTCCTCCGACATTTTGCGCCATTTTGAGCCCAGGATGCGACTGATCTCCCTGTTGTCCATATTTGGATGTTGGTTCTGCACCAGTCTTCTGTACCTGATCACAAAGTTACACTATTCCAGTTATTTTCCAATAGATTATTCATCAATAAGTACATATTACATGTAACAGGGGCTTCACACATAGAATAGTATGTCCTCCTGAACCCTAGCCAAACTAAACAATAGTTAGAAGTAGGTTGAGAGCAAGATGGGCTGGGTTGGCAGGAGTTTACTCAGGTTGGCTACTGTTCAGCTGCACCAGCTGAATGTTTCAAAATGTCTAATAAAAACATTTGGGTCTGATGATGAAAGGTCTGGCCACGGTGGTTGCCTGGTGTTCGGAAGTAGGTTGACAGTGAAATTTGACTCGAATTTAACTCAAGATCAATTCGATATTGAAAGGTAGGAGTGGTCTAAACATGGTGAGACTGCTCCCAAACTTCAGCCAACCTTGGTCAGCTGGTGACAGTTGGTCTTGGGCTGTTAGGTTGGGAAATATGTGTGAGGTTTTACCAACCTTACACTGAAGCGGATAAAACCATTCTGTGGTCTTCTGACCTCCTCCACCTCCCCTGATGGCATAGTTTCCCCTTCATTCTCCTCCCAGTCAAACTCTGTAGCAACAGTCAGGAAATATATAATACAGTGTATCACATATTTGTGAGAACCAGATATCTAGATATAAACTTACTAAAAATATTTGTATTCACTCTTTTTGTTGTAAGGAGGTCTAGAGACTTGCTCATGTTGCTCAGATTAGGATTTCTGTTTCTGTCCGTGAAACTCTCACAACCAGAATGATGTTTGTAGAATTGCCTATTCTACTGGCCTGAGACTCCAATCAGAGTTTCTGGGTAGCGATCAGGAGTGATCTCTACCCTGACACATCTAATAACTACTGAACTGTACTATATTTTTTTTAATTTGAGAAAAATCACACATCTATGCACACAAACATACAACATTCCCTGCTGTGTCCTTACCAATAATTTCAATCATGGCAAATTTGCCAAAAAAACAGTTACTCAAGCAACTGGATATGATTTTGAAAATGGTTTCCAAAATCAGTTTTTTTGGCATATCTTATTACCTGGATGTCTAACCTTCACCGACGTTTCAATGCCATTGTTTGTTTGGCTGTGCTTGAGAAGAATTATAATTGCAGATGGCTAGAATATAATGCAGTGATAACGACCTACTCGTCCTTGAAAACATGACCTATTATATAATCAACATGGCATGCTTCAACAGTTGCTAAGATACCGTAGGGTGGTCTACAACAAATGAGACCATGCTGTCAGTTGGCAATATAGTGTTTAGATACTACCAGCATGGGGTCGTTCGGCACAATGGCAGAGTGCTTGACTCGGAACCAAGAGGTCCCGGGTTTGAGTCCTGACATTATCCGATCTTGTTCCCTTGGGAATGGCTTCCTCACTTAACTCAAGTGAAAATGAGTGTTGTTCTGTCCTGTATTTGTGTTCTATGTGTGGGACACCACACCAGCAACGGCTTTGTTCCACATATATCGTATAGTTACAATTTCAATAAATCAAATGAAATTAATCAACCGTAAACTGCATTACCTCCAGATTGCTGGTGGTTCTGAGATGGTGAAGCTACTCCCTGGGCCAGGTGTTCAACTCCATGGTCCACAGGTAGGCCGAAGTCTACACCACTGTGTTCCCCTATAGCACTGGCAGCCCCTATACCACTGTCCGTCCCTATACCACTATGTGCCCCTACACCATCTGCCCCTACACCACTGGAAGGTAGGAGTTCACTGTGATACGGGGAGGTCTCCCCTGGGTAGGGGGGTGCCCCGTAGTAAGCCCCCGTGGGGTAGGGGGGTGATTTTACGGGGGAGGAGGAGGGGGTATTGTTGCAGGAGGAGGCTCTCCGTGCTGTGATCAGTCTCTGGATCTCCTTCTGCAGCCAGTCGATGTAGTCAGCTGCGTTGTTGATCACTCCGGCCTGAAGTTGGTGAGGAATATGAAAAGAAGACGTCAAAACTAGTACCATGTAACATCTGTGTCCATAATATCACCAGGGTCCATAATATCACCACCTTGAGAAACAGTGTGCTTAAAGATATTTTTACTGCAACATACTTTTGGTATGCACTCCTTCACACATCAAATGCACATACCTAGGGACCAGTAAAAATATCTTTAAGCACACTGTTTCTCAAGGTGGTGATATTATGGACCCTGGTGATATTATGGACACAGATGTTACGTTGTATGTAGTATAATGTTGGATGTAGTCTCTTATATCATTGTATTTTCATACACATTGTTTGTACTTGCAATAAGCTCGCAGGCATGTATATGTCTTTTAGTTTCACAGACGAATTTGTGTTGAATCTTGTACTGTAGTTAGATCACTTCTAGTAACTGGGAAAAAATCTAGGTTAATGAAATGGCCCTACTTCTGAGAAGGCCTGTCTGTGTATGTCCTTAGATCTAGATGTACAGTGTACATCCAGCAGTTTATCTACTTTGCACTGAGTAAACACACCTTCGTCTGACGCCCAAGGCACTGATCAGTCGGTAACATCTGCTTCAGATCCTCCAGGGCACTGCGAATCAGCTGCTTTCTCATGCTGGCATCAAAAAGAATACATGGTCAAATTAAAGAACAGATAATGTAAGGAAACATCTACTGCATTTGTTAAGAAGGTCGAAAGTTCACTGATGAACTTAGCAATAGTTGTATGATGAATTTTGTATTTTGTATTACGTACCTGGATATCTAACCCTCATCAATGTATTTGGATCACTGGTGCAATGGGAGGGTTACTTGTAATGTTAAGTGTTTAACATACTCACAAGTCCTTCCTGAGAGCGCTGTGTCTGCGGTAAAGCCTCTCTTTCTCGGGTGTGGTGCTGCTCTGGTACTGCAGGACTGCCGGAGGGGGTGTGGTGTTATCATAGAACAGCCTCTCCCTGCCAGACAAGGGCGTGGCGTTGCCATGGTGATGCTTCCCTCTGCCGGAATGCGGAGGGGTGGTGTTGCCATGATGGAACAGCAACTCCATATTGGACTGGGGCGTGGCGTTGCCATAGAAACGTCTCTCCCTGCCAGACAAGGGTGTGGTGTTGCCATGGAAACGTGCCTCCCTGCCAGACAAGGGTGTGGTGTTTCCATGGAAACGTGGAGTGGTGTTGCCATGGAAAAGCAGTTCCATGTTGGGCGGGGAAGCTGCATTGCCATGGAAACGATGCCTTTCCCTGCCGGAGTTTGGAGGCGTGGTGTTGGCATGGAAGAGTAGCTCCATGTCAGACTGGGGTGGGGTGTTGCCGGGGAAACGCCTGTGCCTGCCAGGGTGGGGCGGGGTGTTGCTATGGTGATGCCCCGCCCTGTCTGACTGGTTGCTATGGTGATGCCCCGCCCTGTCTGACTGGTTGCTATGGTGATGCCCCGCCCTGTCTGACTGGTGCATGTACATGGGACTAGCCAGGCACAGGTGTTCCATCCCTGACTGGGGGGTCAGACCACCAGTGTAGCCAGTCTCTCCACTTGGCTGAGGGGAGGTGGCTTCCTAAAAAGACAATGATTTCTTTTTTAAATCTTATATATCTGTCATATTCTTCAAAGCTAAACTCAGCCCTGATTAAGATGACAGATGATCATCAAAAAAAGTCGGCTCCTGTTAAAGAAATGGTTGTGAATGAAAGAACTTCAACATTCACTTTTTTCAATGTTTTGGTCAGGGTAGAGATTATGATATGGAAGTATCTCTGATTCTACCTGTAGAGGTCAGTTTCAGTTTCAGTTTATTTTGCACTTTAAAACAAAATGTAACAATACAAATACAAGAAAATATAAATGAAATGTAACAATGCAGGGAGGCTGGAAGCATAAAATGCTTATGAGGAGGCCTCCCTTCATAACGTGATTAACAATTCAAATAAATCGGATAAATATAAGAAATAACTTAGGTCCTGATCGGAGTTTTTGTTGAAGGAAACTTTGGTCAAGATGCTGCTAAATCCTGTAATTGGTCTCCCTCCTATTTACAAATTCTGAATTTCTAGTTAATTCATTGTTCAAAAGGTTACATGAATCGAATTTGAAATTTTTTACGGCCTCCAATCAGAATCTCTACTTGTAGAATAAACGATTCTATCAATGTCTTCAAAAACGTTTGATATATATAGAATTAATTGAAATTCATGCATGCAGCCTGCTTTTTCTTAGTTTTGTCTGATCTTTACCAGCAGCAATAAGTCCTCAGAGATCGAAGTCTTTTTATATCCATGAAACACGGCTATTTGCAAAGCATCTTGAATTTCACAGGTTAGGCCTAAGGAAAAAATTTTGTGTTTCCAAAAAATAAGGTCAGTAGGAAAGGATTCTCTTTTGTTTCTTCTTCTTCTTCTTTTAAAGATTCCAGTTAAAGCAACCCAACAAATACTGTGACAGTTAAACAAAACTGCATCAGGACCAGGGCTGTCTTCAGAACCTGTCTCTCTTGTTTTCATTTTTCACCCAATTTACAATTATTTAAGATTTGCTTCAGAATCTGGGTATGATTGTGTAAAATAATGCTTCAGATCTGAAGGTTTGTAATACAGATGTCAGAATTAGATCAGTATTTTTATGGCCTTGCCAACAGTTGACAGAAGAATGGCTAGGGTTGGCAACTTTTGCCAAGGTTGGTGGGGAAACCAGGAACACAACATTTCTTGCTCAGGCCTTAAGCTTATTGATACACATTATACAAACAAGCCCGTAGCTATGGTTTCAGGTGACCTGCTTGGGACTACTTGAACAGACTCAGATAAATACAAAGATTACTAATTCTGTGTCAACCTTTTGTAAGGATTTCCTCTGGATTTCCTTTGGACTGCAGGGATTTGAATCAAGCCAGGCTAAAGTCACTCCATATGCTGGTATTAGGTCAACAAAAATGGCAACATGACGATAGCAACGTAGCAAGGGAAATGTGGAGATTTTTTAAAACATGGAGTTGTGGCTTTTAGACAATGGTTTTTAACAATGGTGGGCTTTTGCATTGAGCAATTAGGCCACACCAATTTAATTTGTTGGTTCTCAGATTCGCCCGCTTCCAATTTAAAAAAAAACACTTCAGGCTCTGAATCAACTCTAAAATGCTCACATTTTGCCCTGAACAGTTCAAGACAGTCCTTTTCTTCCTAGTTGTAACAGTTTTTCCATCTATGAATGCAGTGGTTTCATTAAAAGTTCAAAGCCTGGTATGTTGACTTTATAGCTCCTATCATAGCATTTTGGGCTATAACAGGATGCCTAGGTCTGTTATTTTTTTTTGCCCTTTCCTTCATATTTATTCTGAAAAATCTGAGAGCCAACAATCAAATTGGTGTAGCCCCACGGAAGGTTTTCCTGTCCAGAACAGCTGTAGTTTCAGCACTCTGGAGAAAGACAATAAAGAGTGGTTACCATGGTAATACCGGAGCTGCCCCGCCATGTACCCATGCCTAATGGTGTATCATGTTGCTGAGGTGAGCTACAGCCTCCATCTGATCCTAGACAGTAAGAAAAACAAAATATCATTGGAAATCACTACAGCTATTTATCTATGTTTCTTTTGGTCATTTTATGTAAAAAAAATCTGGAAAGAGGAAATATGGAAACAAAAGCAAAATAATGGGATGAAAACAAGCATCTGACTATATTCCCTTCTGGAAACTGTATGTTCAAAGGCATAAACTTTACCTCCAGAGTGTTTTATTTCATTTATGTATATTAGACTCCATTGACACAATGATTTTCCTTAGTAAGTCAAAAGCAGCTGTTGTACATCAAGAGCAGCTGATTTACTTTCAAAACAATATAGGCAAGAATCCATCTTCTATATAGCCTCATACTATCTAATATGACAAGGGCTTTGTCAGCACTATTAGAAGATGCTTTGCCATGATAAAACATGAAGAATCTTCTTAGTAAAATGCTATCCTAGAAACTCCATCAACTGAAAGCAGTTTAAAAACTGACAGAGAAAAATGAACCTTCCCAAATTAAGGGGCTTAGGACTAGATCTTCTATTTGGCCCATAACACTTTTAAGGCTTATCTTGTCAAATAGTGTCAAACTTGGGGGGAAAAACTAATAATGTGTACCATACACAGAAGTTACCTGTCTTTAATGATTTTATCGATAAGTTAGTTGGATGCAATACATTTGATATTGAATTAATCCTACTCTTAAACCCTGTAAATGTCAAAGACAGTAAATCTACTTTTTTCTGAAATATCAAGATCAATCATGAGACTATCACATTAAAGGAGCTTGTATCATCATATTATTGTAATCCCCACCTACTGTTAATGCTCTGTGATGACTTTCAAATCAGTGTCACCATGGCCTGTTGCTTTTCATCCAATAGAAATGAGATTCAGGCTTCATTGACATAGTCCAGAGCAACTAACTGTCTTCATTTATTTTGCCACATACATACATGTATTGTAATTCCCCAGGGTGGGCAATCATAGGTCATATGTAAGTTTACAGTTTCGCAGGCACGCAGCTCGGCTGCAGCTAGCTATATTACACCGAACGACTTGTTACACTCAATCTTTGCGCATTTAATTGCAAGAGTTGTAGTATACAGTATAGCTAGGCTAACCTGCAGCTGAGCTAGCTGGGCTGGTGCAGGTGTGGCTGCTGGAGGGGTGCGGGGCAACCAAGGGTTGTACAGGGTTAGGCAGGTGCAGCAGGTGCTGGGAGAGGAAGCAACACAGAGGGGTGAAAAAGTGTGGGTGCAATTTGCAAGACCACAAACTGAGTAAAGAGACTCCTTTTACACAACTGAGTGTTAAGTTTACGGCCGACATTTCGATGACCATCTGTCACCTTCCTCAGGGCAATTCTGACTTGTTCACACTTTGCTGGGTCAGTGAAACGTCAGCTGTGAATAAAACACTTGGTTGTGTAAAAGAGTCTCTTTACTCGGTAACTCAGTGACTTACCAACCTGATGAAACTATTCACGAATGAAAGACCACATACTAGTCTGAATGTGTCTGTGCATATATAAGTGTAAGAATATTCAGATATATAGCATGTCTGTGGAGCAACATGTCCATTTATGATTGTGACTGTGGTATACAATTTTATCTTCAAGAAATAAGATATGAGAATCAGAAGGTAAACCTGCGTGCCACAATGGACAACAGCTTGGCCAGTTTGAAAGGAAAGCGTGGATGGAAAAAACAACAAAAGTTTCTGCAGGCTAAATAATATATGGTATCATAAGGCCTGGTCATTTCCTATAAACACCTCTTATACTGTTGAATTGGTGGTTATAGGAAATAATCAGGCCTTATGGTGCCATATACACCAAGCAACAGGTGGGTCAATAACCCTTAATTAGATTAATATAACCCCTAAAAGTGGACAGGGCTGTTTCAATGTGGCTTGTAACAGGTAGTGTTTGGCTTACATCACTGTAAATGTAGGTGGCCAAAAGGTTAACAAAGCTGTAAGGTATTTCTGACCTGCACATTCTGAAGAGACTCCATGAGTTGTTGGTAGGACGGTGCTTGTGAGGTGACAGTACAACTTTTACCTGCAGAAGGTTCTGGGGTATCAAAAGGTTCAAGTGTGTATCAAATACAACAAAATTGTTTTAAAATAATGTTGAAAATTAATAAACTGAAAAGCCAGCTAGATTATGGCACTGGCACAGCAAACTGAATCCACTTATTGTGGACTGTTTTACCACCAACCATGAATGTCGGAAATGTGATATAATTGCACAAATATGTTGGAAAGTAGACTGAAGTGAATTATGATCAATTTAACTACTTCAATTTGTAACAAAAAAAGGTACGTAATGCCCTTTTAAGCCTATAACAGTGGCTACTGTATGATTTTTTTGTGTCCTCTGATTCAAATTCAATTCAATTCAAATGAACCAATCACTCTTTCTTCCTCACCATTCCCCTTCTCTGATTGGTCAGCCAGTTCAAACAGTCCATCCATGTCATCATCAAACAGTTCCTCCACTTGCTGCTGAGTCAGACCCACCCTGTCCACAATCTCATACAGGCCTGTCTCCATCCTAGGCCTAGGAAAAAAAATTAAAAATTTGCGTTTCCTGTTTCCCAACCAACCCGATTGGTGTAATATAGCCAGCTGCCACCGCGCCGCGTGCCTGCGAAGCTGGTGTGTTACGCCGAAAGGCGGTTATACCGGCTATACAGATACAGATACAGATACAGAACCCTAGAAAAAACTGCTGACCCTAGACTTTTTTTGGTTTGGACCCCTGCAAGGGACATAAATAATTCGAGCTGATCAACCTTGTATAGGCCTTGGACTATGGAAAATATTGAAAGAACACTGAAACATAGTTGGTCCTAGATTTAGAAAATTTGCAATATGTAATTGATCAAGTCACAGCAGTGTTAGATACGGCCATTTGTTAGTATTTTCATGTCATTTTTTATTGTTCAAGGTAATAATGATAAACCAAGTTTCTACTAAGTTAATTAAAAATAGTTAAACTCAACAACAGAAATGTAATGCTATACAAAATATTTTTTAAAACATTGTAAACACGTTATAATATATACAAAACATCGATTGTAGCTAAATAGAATTCAGTAATGATACAGTACTAATTTTTGCGTATAAACCACGAAATTAACTTTTAATAATTTCTTTAGTTAAGGCTTAATCAAAATCGTGGGGTTTAAATCCACGTAGAAATCCTACACCTGCAATATTGAGCATGCGTGTTACGTGACCAATGCCACGTTTCATGCAGGAATTCCTATACTGGAAATCGGCCTAATTTTAAGCTTTCCTCAAAAATCTGCTGCAGTAATATTTGATCTGCAAGTACACAGTAATGTAGGGATGCTTCTTACCTCAGTAGAACAAGTCGCTGTAAAATTATAGAGGATTTCGGTGCGGGAAATCCCGGAGACAAGAAGTCTAGACCGCTTGCAGACTTGGTGTTGAAAAAAAGGCTTTCCTACAGATTAGATGTCGCTGCTAGCTATTGGTCGAACCGACGGACTTTTGCAACTTTCCTCCAATCAGAGTATGCATTACAAGTGGAACAGAGTGTTGCATGTAACTTAATAGTTGCTGGTTATAGCGTGGCTATTCTATATAACGCTCTCCTCCCCAAATGTTAGCAATTATACCTCCGAAAAAATGAGAAATAGATGCATAATAAATCACATGGAATAGTAAACTATGAATGGTCATAACATCAACTTATTGCACTATTGTTGTGTGAAGTTTTGCGGTTTGATGTTCGCGTATCTTTACCGCAAATATAATTTAAGTGTGGGCAAAATTGACAACTATCCCCTGCAGAGTTGGGTAGTTTTAGGGCTGAACCAAGGGAATTGCCAAGTTCGTATCACCTTTTAATCGTATTTGGAGTCCGTTCAACATTTAAACAAGCAAATCTAACATTAGCTTATACAATCAAACAATTTGTTGTTGAAACTATATGAAGACAAACATGGAATATACTTTTTAGATCACATTAACTTTTATTCCAAACCAAATATCTTTTATTCCAAATATCTTTTATTCCAAACAAAATATCTTTTATTAAATTCCTGGACGAAAAACGGCATGAGGAAGAAAATGATTATCAGGATTTATAACTGAAAATTCGCCTGCAGTTTTAGTTTGAAGTAAGTCTGTGTATGAGATTTAGAAATTTGTATTCGTTCTATTGTTGCTCTCTCGACGTAAACAGGAATACTGATTTCATGTCGCCCTACGAATCACAGGCCACATTCAGAAGTAGGGGAAAGGTTGCTGTTTTCAGCAGCATATCATGTTTCCATTTTATGCTGGCACAGCAAGAGCAGAATTGTGTAGAGTTGTTCCGTTCGGGTAGCAACTGTAGTCCTGGTTTGGGCCTCTCTAAGCTCTCTTCAGTTCAGCTCGGTTCAATGTCATCTCAGGTTTCCAGTGCTCTAACGTTATATCACTTGGTGCTGTTGCATATGTAGCAAACTACGTACACTCTTCATGGAGATAGGTCAGAAGGCACCATGGTTTGTTTTTGTAGAAATAAAGCTAAGAATCTGCAAGGGTGCCAGAGTATACAGTGCAGTTTTGCGAAATACAGTGCAATTTTAGCGCAATACAGTGCAATTTTACGGAATACAGTGCAATTTTACGAAATACAGTGCAATCGTATTAGTTCACAGTGTAGTTTTACTAGATTCCGTAAAATTGCACTGCATACTTTGGCAACCCTGATAAGGAAATTCACCCCACCCAAATGTTCTCCCTCCTCGAAAAAAACACAGCATCAACTTGATCAAGGGAATTTAACAAAATCGTGACCTAAGATTTTCTGACCTCTGACACTTCGTTCTAAACGAAGCGGTGAACGAAGTGGCCCAAAATTATCACGATAAATCACAATCAGACAGTATCAAACGAAACAATGTGTTACGAAGTACATTTAAAGAATGGTTGAAGGTTCACATAGTCATTTCCGATAGAGGGTCTTTCTGGGTAAAAGCTGTGCATCAATGAGTGTAAAACAAATATCACGTCATAGTATGTAACATTTGCTTAGTTTAATTGGTTATAGTACTTAGCGTAACCTAAGCGTGCCAATAAAATGTCCGTTCTTATTCAAAAGTGTTTTTTCTTAGAATTCACCCAGACGAACTTTCTTGCTGTTAAAGGAATACCATGTGTACAAACGTCACAAAAACAATGCGGTCTCCTCAGTCAGAAGCGCATTAAAACCAGGTGCTGTGTTTCCGTGCGTAGGCGTACATACGTGTACATACACCACGGGGTTAAATGCATCTTTAATCCCCTTTTTGCTGCTTGGCTAAGGAGAGTAGAGATCAACTACTTAGTGTCGTCTGAAAGTGACGCTCTGCCCAAATGCCACAGGGGTGGATGTCTTGTCAGTTCTTACGTGTGGCAAGTCCTTGAATAAAAAGGTCATAGGAAATAAAGGATAAAAGGGGCCAATTAACCCCCCTCCCACTTTTTTCTACCTTTGACAGTCTACTCATTTGTCATTGTGTTACTACTACAGGTAGGGTTCGCTTTAGCGCTTCCACGGAAGGATTTTGAGAAATAGGATAGTGTGTTACATTTTCAACGTATATCAAATCCTGTAAACAACACTGAGGCACTGAACGGCAGTACTTTGGTATCAGTTGATGCCTTTGCGTTTCTACGTATGGTTATCAACATGAACTGTACGTAAGGATTAAACGTACAATAAACGTATTATGTTTACCGAAGGAAAACATATTGTTTTTGCTACGTTTCCTCCTCTTCTTCTTCTCCAAACACTGACCTCTGACCTTGTCAATGACCTAATTTGTTGACGTCTCTCACCATGGTAACTGGTGTTGGGTTACATAATGTTGCAATTCTGTAGTAGCAGGGATTTATACTCCTGTCTGAACATATAGTTCATTCATTCATTCATTCACTCACTTATTCATTCATTCATTCATTCATTGTTTAGGTATTCTATTTCTATGTTCAGTAAATACGTTCATAATTTTATCAGGTTGGTGAATGATTGAGTAGCACAGTTCTTTATTCACAACCACTTGTGTAACAAGAACAGCCTGCCATCTTGATCAATTGGCCTGATGAAGATGACAGACGGTCATTGAAACGTCGGCTCTTGTAAAAGAAGCGGTTATGAATTTTGCTAGTCACTATTACTGACGACATCAATAGGCAAATTGAATTCAAACTTTCCCAATTTGCTAATATCAACGTTTATTGTGCACAAAAGCGAAGAAAATGAGGCCAAATGTTCCAATGATTGAAAGAATTACCGTTACAAAACATTTCTTTTTGTTGTAGCGCTATATTTCAATGGTATCTAAGAACATAACTAATAAGAACACAGTGCGCATTAAAGGGTTGTAAAATTAAATGACAGTGTGCAAGAAAGCAAAGAAAAGGGAGGCAAAATATTCCAATAATTGAAGGAATGACCGTTACGAAACATTTCTTTTTTGTTGTAGCGCCATATTTTCATAACATCGGGTTACGTATAGCGTGGGAGGTTCACGTGGCTCGCACATGAAGAAAATCATGAAGTAAATGTGATACACTCACATTTACACACACAAAATCACACTCACAAACAAACACACACACACACAAACACACACACACACACACATATTTACACGCACAAAAGCACAAACACACACACACACACAATCACACACAAACACATATATACACACACACACACACAAACACAAACACACTGACACAATCACATTTACGTACACAAAATCATAAACACACACACGCATACATACAAACACACAAACACGCACACCCTCCAATACCTTATCTGACCAATATCTTGCACAAAACAAACACACGGTATACTCCATTGGGGGACTCGAGTTCCTTAACAACTTTATGATCGCTTCCTATATATGCTAAGCATAAGCATTAGTCTATTGATAAAGCATAGCATTTGTTATCAGCTATATGTGGACACGCCTATAGCCGCAGCAATAGTGTTTGTTATCGCAAACAAGTTAATGTGTTGGTCGTGCCTTTTGTAACCAGGCAATCGCCAAGAGGCCCTGGCGGCGGATCACGTTTGATTTACAGAAGAGAGATATTGCAAAGAGAAGTGGCTGGTATTTTCGGTGAAGTAAAGGGCTGAATTTGTTCGGGACAACAGAAGGTGTATAGACGGTGGAACTAGGGCAGAAATGGACGACAGCGACGACGATCCGATTCAAATATATCTGAAAAACTGGTGAGTGGAAATATATGTGGGGTATTGTATATAGAGGTAGTACAAAGTGTTGCAGTGCCGGTCAAGAGTAGGTCCATTGGCCGTGTTAGGAACGATTTTACTACGGGAAAATCTGTTTGGAGATTAGTTGTAGTTGGATGGTGTTGTTGTTGTTGTTGTTGTTGTTCCCTGCACTTGAGTACAGACATATATAGATGTAAATAGGTCCGCAGACACATGCTGTAAATGAAATGATCTTTCCAGCAGCCGAGGGCCTTGAGTGTAGAGTGTATTTTTGCCGCAGTATAATATACCACGAAGCGTTCACTTGGTAATCATTTACCGGGGGTCTTTTAATTACATAGAAAACGGAGAAACTCGTAGTCATAGTACCGATACGATGTCACATTGACAAAAATGGATAGAATTTGAAATACCTGTTGCGTTCTACCCCATACAAGATGGGCAGAAATATTTTTACCATAGACTCGTAGACAAAAAGGGAACGATGTTGGTAGTAAACATTGTTGTGAATGAGATATGCTTTATTCTACATCTGGGTCTCTTCTGGCAATGTAAGTCGAGTGTTTGTTATAGCATTGTCCACTGAAGCATGGAGGTTTCAAAGCGTGTTCAATTGTGTGTATTCAGAACCGTGCTTTATCCAGAACCATGCTCGGGTATGGTCCATGATAGTCCACGCGTATCCAGAATCGTACCTGTGGCGAATCTGCATTCTTGGAAACTTGGAGACTATATATATCCAGAACCGTGCGAATGTCTGAGCCTAACCTTAACCCATTCAGGCATAAAACTACATGGACACGAATCTGGATACAATAATCATGTACCATTCTTGCGTAAGATCACGTACTCACGCAATAATAACTATTGCACAACAATACATGCGTATGTTTAGTGGCTTGCATTGCCACGTACCTTGGAAGCCTTTCAAAGCACATGGAAGGCATTTTACATTGAAAAACTGTCTTTCCAAGTTTTGTTTATTTTCTAGGGAAACTACTGCTATCTTTACACTCTATACTGCGTTGTGATGTTGGTTAGCGTTGGACATTGAAATTTTGAGCGATCCCTACATCAAAACAGTTGCATTATTTACAGGAAATTACGTTTCAGGGTTTTTAATCACACGTGGAGACGTGGAGAATTTTGTTGATTGTCTGGGTCCATGAAAACATCAGTAGTATAATCAAATCCCTCTGAAGCACATATCAATATAATCTTTTCTTGTGATAAAGCATAAATGTACGGAAATTTGTATGTTTTTCTTTTATATTCAGTGCCTGTCCACAAAATGTATGATTTGATACTAGGTACTTTGGTCTATTTATGCACACGATCCCCATCGATTTGTGCTCTCCAAGCAGAGGTTGGTGGGGAAGATTGTGACCTTCCTGCATATGCCCCATTTATTTCTGTCGCTATTACCCCCCCCCCCCCAATAAAAAGGGACATATTAGAAAGATCACAATCTTCCCCACCAACCTCTGCTTGGAGAGTCTAGTCGGTGAAGGCCATGTTTTCGTCATGAGGCATGTATTATACGTCATACGTCGACAACTAAAAGGGACTAATCGTTTGTGTATGTGTAAATATTTGATCTTTTTGGTACAGATCGCGACTCCAGTCAATGATCTTCTCTTTAATCACACGTGTTGATTTTTTCCCGTGATCCCCCCCCCCCCGCCGATCTAGCCTTAATGTCAGCCTTGTTAGCTTTCGTCCGCTTCCCAAGATCCGATCCTTGGCGGGGAGCGGATCTTGGGGAGCGGACGAAAGCTAACGAGGCTGACACTCAGGCTACCCGTGATCTGCTAAAAATGCAGTTTGATGATACATTTCACAAGTACATTACTACTAATATTGGAAGCTGCATGGAGAAAAATTCAACAGGTTGTATACACCGATTCCACTTCCTTATATGATACATGTTGGGTTCTTATTTGCCTACTTTCCGTGAAAATTGAAATCCCTGTATGCTACACAATTTAGAAGTCAGGACGAAAGCTCGACGCTTAAGAGTGGTTAAATGCCTTTATAGCGTGCAAGATGCAATGTGGGAACTACTATTCACGCCAAAACGTTAATGTTACGGAGCTATTTCTGTGCGAGCTGTTTGCTCCGAAATTCTGATAAATTCAACTAGAGTTAGGTATCTCCAACATAAACACTTCCAATGCCATGTCACCATTCCGACCTTGCCATTTTCATACCTATTTCTGAATTCATTAAAAATTACGCGTTGATACTGAAGATCATCACTAGATTAGTACAGAATGCTGCGACAGTCGATGACCTTTAGGTCATATATAACGTTACCTTTGCGTTAGAAGACATCTGTTTGCTTGCTGGTTTGCCCAAGGATATCTCACTTATGAATGGTTTTCTTAATTGTTAAGGATAAAGATACGAAATGATAGTTATCATTTCATTCAGCGGGGTAATTACATCCATTCTGTAGTAACGCTAGCCCCGAGACACAATTTGCCCACATGGGTTTTCATGTATTTTTCTTACCTGTTAAGGCCTCTCATTGCATGTTAAGTATCAAAAAAGATGATATGAAATACTATCCGTTCTTTCGTGCTGTGGTGTGATTACATTTTCGTGAGGTTTGTCTACTGTATGGCGGCACTAACCTCCGGAGACAATTAACGTACACACCAGGGGTCAGTAACCGGTGGATGAATGGTTGGAGTCAGGGCAGGGCTTCAATCAACATGCCTAGCTTCAACCTTCTTGTACCAGTTTGCATAGCAGTTAGCAACATGCCATACAGAGGATATGAATTACCAGAAACTGCAAACATTGGAAGTAAAACGATGTTGCATAAAAACGTTTACTTTGAGATACGCGAAAACGTTATGCCAGCAAGATATTCACAAATCTCGCCAGTCATGTATTTGATGATATGGGCTGTACATGTTTTACCACATTTCATAGCCTCTACCAGGCACCGCGGATCGCTGGAAAAATAGTAGAAATTGGCCGAAATAAAGGGATAGACCAGAGAAGATCAAGGGCCACAGAAGCTCCAATTTGCGACCCACGGAAATTGGAGCTTCTATGGCCCTGGATCTTCTCTGGTATAATATCCCTTTATTTCGGCCAATTTCTACTATTTTTCCAGCGATCCGCGGTGCCTGGTAGAGGCTACACATTTCACGCTGCTAGAAAGGGTTGCAGTGCTTTGAATGGAAAGTTAAGCCATGGTTCACAGTGTACTTTTCAAAGAGAGGTAGTGGGTGAGTTTCACTGGTCCAATGAACCTGTAAATACTGTACATAGCGTCTGTCTTCTCTGTCACGATAAGCGGAAGAGTATCTCTACACCGCTGCGGTTCGGGATAGATTTCATTTCTTGGTCCAACACGAATTAGTGTCATTGTGTCAAAATTAAGGATAGGGTATCAAAACCGGTAGGAGACTACTTGGGTTTCTTAGTGGTGGTGATCGTTGGCTGATTTTTTTTATTTACTTCATATTCACCAGAAAACAAGGCTCATAAGAGCCACTCAAATGTTTTGGGTTACTGTGCTAGACAGTGAGGACATGTTTGTTGACCTTTGACTTGAAAACTTTGATACTTTGCCTACTTTACTATTGTACACTTTCTTGTGGATTAGTTATATAGAAATGCATTATAAAAGCTTACCTTGATACCACACTATACTCTCCTTTAATAGTGGAAAGCTTATCAGTTTTTGGGGGTATCTAGAAATTTACTTTGAAGTCCAGAAATCAAGTAAACAAGATGAAGCAACCAAACAAGGAATTTTATAAAGATGTACCTCCACCGCTCGTTATATAAAAATACCGCGACGTTGCGTGAGACCGCCTCTGAGATCACGACAAAGACAGGCTCCCGGTACGGTGTCTTTACTAATCTCCGCCGGGGGACAGTTGTTAGGGGCGACTGATGCTAGTGGCGACGGTTGCTACGGGCAACGGTTTCTCCTGGCATTTGATTGACGTATGCCTGGCGTGTGGTGAGAATCTTATGAATAGACCAAAAATAAAAAATCTCCGGCTCCCTTCGGTAAAGGAAATCGAGAATTTTCCTTTTGAAACTTTAGAATGAAAGGTACGGCGTGCGTCATTCAACTCAAAGACACTTTATACCTCAAGGGTGGACCGAAGTATTGAAATTCTCTATTCAAAATATCATTTGTTGAGTCTGAATTATAATGCTGGTGTTTACACACATTACAGGAAAATCAAGAAGTTAATAAAAATGCTGAGTGCATATTGGAACCCGGCTGACGATCATTTATGATACTTAAGAATTGCAGTAAATGTCTAAATATGATGACAGTGCAGATAAGTGTGATCTATAAGACAAACATATACTATGACTTCAACGTTATTTACGTTGCACTAGTTAGGGTGGAGTGCCACACGGATGCTGCGTACTCCATGGTGGGTCTAATATAAGCTGTGTGGACAACAGATCAGAATCCACGATTCAAAATCGGCTCGGCGAGTGCGTATTCACCATATAACGGATGAACGCATGACATTTGCAATTATGCACATTATGACGGGATTCTGCTTTCTCAACAATATGGGCACTGAAACAAATTACTCTTAACGAATCAATGAATGACCCTGTAATATAAGTTACAGTATCTTAATTCAACTATTATATCGCATGACGTCAGGTCTCGTAGCAACAGCAGAGAGTTTGAATGGTACGAAGGTCACCTTATTTGCTGCCACCATTTCCGGCTGTTATTCTGTTGTCATGACTACCAGTTGCCTTGAAACGTCGGTGAAGCGTAGACGTATTTTTGGCGCATTAGTTGCCTTGTTGGAGCCTCTACCAGGCTTCGGGAGGCGGCTGGAAAGAGTGAAAATCAGCCAAATAGAGAGGTAACATGTCAGGTGCGCATGCGGCAAACTGTTCTCTCACCGCGGACTAACTCCCCTGACCATGGGATCCATGCCCTGACATGTTCTCTCTCGATTTGGCCGATTTCCACTCTTTCCAGCCGCCTCCCGAAGCCTGGTAGAGGCTAGCCTTGTTGGAGCCAGTGGGGAAATGTTTGTACAGAATCAGAGCGAAAATGACAACGATGAATAAAACAAGAAGCTTTGCATACTTCACGGATGTATGAAATATTCTATTTCCTGTTATCGATGGGATCGTGTGGCGTAATGGCTGGGTGTTTGGCCCAGAACCCATAGGTCCAGGGTTCGAATCCATCAACATGCCCCAATGCTGTGCCCTTGCTGGCACTGAAAGGCACTTAACGCGAATTTCCTCGCTCGACTCTGGTGAAAATGAGTACCTAGCTTAGGGATGTCTCTTGGATAGGACATTAAATGGACCAAAAAGAGTAGGGCATGTCCCGATGTGCAATGGTCTAAATACTAGTATTACAACCACTACTACCACTATGTATACTGGATAGTACATGGATGTTTAACCTTCATAAACGCATGACTATGCATTCTTCACGTAGGTGCAATCAGTTTAGTGCTGTCTAACTTTGTTTTAAGTTTGTATCTAAAATATTTTTTTCTTTTTTTTTTAGCGAGAAATGAGGGTCGTTTTCTCGCTACTGGGACTTGGCCAGACAGGTCAATGAGAAATATCCACAAGAAGAGATCGACAGGCGGACGGGCAGACCAGGTAAGGAACTGATCATCACTAAACATAAATTATGCAAATTAGTACATCATTTGCATAACTGATATGGAAATTCTAGAACTGCATTTTGTTAGTTAAGACTATCAATGCACAACCTGAGTGGAGAAGATGACTCGATTTATGTTAATGAGTACGTTAACGTTATTTGCGGAATGAATCAGAAATAATTGCAATATGTCAGTCGTAAAGGTTTAGTATACATGATTCGACTATGGTTCATCCACAATAATAGTGTTATAGAATGTTATGAAATTAAGACCAAGACCAAGACCAAGATATATTTCTAAGAAAGACATGTTGTATTCTATTCCTTTGCTGAAGGCCTGGTGGAGGTATATCTCAACGGAGAGCTGGTCTATCGTAAGTCTGCCGATGGGAAATACCCTTCATCAGGAGAGGTAAGCTGTCAAGGTTATTTTTGGCAAAGCCTCCCAGTCGAGTGGATATAAAATCATCCAAATATGATCACGAGAGAATCTGCTAAAAGTATCTTTTTAGAAAGACATTTTCGGACTTGATACAATTTAACTTTTAGTCTCACAGACGCAGAGATCGAATCTCCAAGCAGGTCATTTCGTAGCTGCAAAGACAGTATCAAATTCACCAGGCAGTTTTCATTTGCCAGACAGTTACTATCTGCCACCTGAGACTGAAAAAAAAGATACCAGCCCGATAAAAACGCATAAAAACACGCCAAAAATACGTGGAAGCCCAAACCTCTGCTTGTAGAGTATACCAAGAAGGTTGATTTTAAACCTCCTTGAGTATAACTTACACAATCTAGTAACATCTGTGTCCATAATATCACCAGGGTCCATAACATCACCAGGGTCCATAATATCACCACCTTGAGAAACAGTGTGCTTAAAGATATTTTTACCTCAACATAATTTTGGCATGCACTCCTGCACACCTCAACTGTACATACCAAGGGTATGTTGCAGTAAAAATATCTTTAAGCACACTTTTTCTCAAGGTGGCGATATTATATGGACCCTGGTGATATTATGGACACGGATGTTAATGTTAAACTAGGTTTTATCTTTATCTGCTATTTTAGGAAAGTTACTAGTAGTATTGTGTTCATTGCAGATTGTAGATGCAATTCTGGATATCTCTGAGGCCAAGAGCAGCTCCTCGCTAGCGGAAAAACGTCACAGCGTCAAGACAACCCCCGACATCTCCTGAGTCAGGCCCAAGTTTCCCAAGGATTCCAGTGGCGGTGGCGGGAACCAAAATTACCCGGATGTGTGCGGTAACCCGGATGTTCAAACGGACTCGTCTGCTTGCGTCGTGGACGTGGGAGTGAAGGATGACGGGAAGAAGTTTCGAACGGAGTCACGTAGTTCTGGCATATCCCGTCTGTGTTCCATACTGTAGTTTGTTCATCAGAGATCCTTAAAATGTTATCTTTTAGTTTCCTATGACATGCATTACAATTCCAACGAATTCCTGTTTTCGCAACCAAGTTTTCATCAGTTCAGTCTCTGTATTTAATACTATGTTGAGCGAATCACTACCTGGTCAATACCTTAGTAATATCATACTATAAGAACTATTTTCAGCTTATATAGCTACAATCCAACACCATGTTGTGATGGTCTCACGAATGCTAGCTCATATCTCGCTTCCTCAGAGCTGCTCCATAGGTAGGTCTAGCTACAGATATATACTAGGGACATTTCTCAGCGAACCATTTCTATAGAAGACGAATTCTTGCAACAGCTTGTACAAGGCTAACACACGAAAGTGTCTACTTTTTCAACTTATAAACTTATACCGAAATACAGGGAACAGAAGTAGTCATAGAAAAGTCAATGTTCCGCTTTGTGTATTTTGGAAAACATCCGGAGTATACTCAGATACATGTATAGAACTAATTGTTGTCGGTACAAATGTAGTAAGTTTGTAACATTCGTTATGATATGTATTGTGATGTGTATACAGACACCCGGGCGTTAGAATGAAGCGGTCTTAATGAGGACCTTCGCCGAAACGAAACTATTTCGGGGCGGAGATCTGAGAATCTGACCGTTTTATAAGTATCGTTAGTTGTTTTCTACAATGTAAAAGATTTTGTATGTTCGTATTCATGTTTTGAATCCATTGTATTACATTGTATAAACCTTATCTTGCTACAGTACTTGTGTCATCATTTCTTCCATAGTTCTACCCGCGGATTGTTGTATTTCAAATCTGCTTAAAATGTTGGTAAAATAAAATAAAATAAAATGAAATGAAATGAAATGAAATGAAATGAAATGAAATGAAATGAAATGAAATGAAATGAAATGAAATGAAATAAAATAAAATAAAATAAAATAAAATAAAATAAAATAAAATAAAATAAAATAAAATAAAATAAAATAAAATAAAATAAAATAAAATAAAATAAAATAAAATAAAATAAAATAAAATAAAATAAAATAAAATAAAATAAAATAAAATAAAATAAAATAAAATAAAATAATAAAATAAAACATAATGGTAGAGGTATTGTCCAGGCGTTTCAGCTATATGTACAGCTAAAACGGCTGTACATGAAACGGTTCCCAAGCGTACCAAAATAAAGTATTATGTTACGAAAAAAAACTGAGATATCGTTTTGGTATATTTGCTTCTCAAAGGTTCATTTTTATCATGACCTTGCAGACGATGCTTGCCCTCCATAATTCTGACAGGAATACATCTGCACCTTGGAAAAGTAGCCATTTTGACACGCTATAAGGCCACACCGTCTTAATTTTATGGATGACATCCGCGCGCGCATTGATTTTCGCCTGTCGCCCTCAAAAAAAAAAGATCACCTTCACCGAGGCTCTGGCCTTGTTCTAGGCCTGGGTAGTCCATGGTAGTCAGCGACAAAACGGAGCCGAGCACCCAGGCTATCGAATTTGAAGCTCCGCAACTCATGAATTCCACAAAAAGCCAGAATGTGCCGGCTTGTTGTATACGTCGGTATGTACGGCCGCAAGTTCACAATACTTGAGCTTTGTATTCCTGTGGCTTAGTAGCGTTTTTATTTTTGGCTGGAATTTTTTTTATTCGCCCGCGCGCACTAGTTTGGGGGTCTTCAGAGGATGTCATCCATAAAATTAAATCGGTGCGGCCTAAGCAATAAAACATGTTAACAGAGTTCATAGGTGACATTGTCCTAAATGTGAGACACACAACATATCTGACGAACCACAGATAATCTGACAACCAATTTTCCCCCACCATTCTCGGTTTTCTGTTCTGCTGTGTCATGCTGTGTCATGCTAAACCATTCTCTGATGTTAACCCCCCACCTTTTCCGTTGCCTGCCGCTCTATTATCCACCTAGTATCACCGCTCGCTATATATAACTTTACAGCCCGACAGCTGTCACAGACAGACACGACTTGCTAACGGCTACGACGTGCGCACAAAAGATCCATGGTTACCGTGCGCAAATCGTGACATGCTGTAACGCTCTCTGCGTCAATCCTGTTTGTGAAGCGATTGTTGTTACCTGAAAGTGATGCGCTGAAATTCTAGCATGATAAGAGGAAAAATCGGCGTTGTAATGCACTAAATGTCAAGGAGGAGGATAAAACTTGGCAAAATACATGAAAAAGTGACATGAGCAAATATCTGCTTATCATTTTATACTGTATCTGGTTTTCTTTGACAATCAGTATTGTTGATAAGACGGGAATTTTAAGAAGTGTATTTCTTTTCAAACCCTTGAAGTCTAGTGAAATATTAAACCTACATAGGAAGTATAAAACACAACCAGCGTCTTGTGCGCGTTAATGTAAAGAATGAGCGAGAAAAATTAATCCTTTTTATAAGGTTTTTATTTATTCTTCAATTTGCCGATACAACGTAACGTCTTTTTTCCCTGAAGACAGTAGTCTGTGATATAGTAGCGACGCCTTGTGGCCGTATATAGAACTACAGCTTTAATCTTGGCACAATTATTCCATCCACTTTTTCAGTCAAAATTCCTCCTCGCTATAGGCGAGGGCGTGGTCCTGAAAAGTGTCGTCTTTATTCATTCCTCATTTATAGAACAGGTTATTCGTATCAGACAGTACAGTAATAACTGCTTTATTATTTTAAAAGAATCATTAAAATCATAGTATAGTGTTTTGCATACACTTACCAGAGTATATCTTCTGTGTCGAATTTAACTTAATCTTCATGATAAGCCATTGCAGTCGCCATTTACCTACTTTTATGCCATATGAAATTCAATATGGTTCAGGCTTCGCCTCTGACTGCCTGGAAACAACAATGAACAAGAAGAAGTCTAATACGGTATCAAGATTTTTGCCCAAGTTTTAGTTTAAGTCTGGAAGATTGCATGAGAAACTTTTGTTAAGATAATTTTGAATTAAATTTGAATGAAACTTCCGTTCTACAGTGTTGGATATGATGGGCACGAAGCTCGCTCATCTTTGTCCCAGGGCTATCCGGTCTTCAGGGCTGCTCTCGTTCTCAGGAACCCTTGCATGGTAGCCGATGCAGGTTATCTTCTCATCGCCTGTAAGTTATACATTGAATGACAATTAAGTGAATGCATTTAATATATATGTAAATAGGAATATATATCTCAAATTGCGGAGTTCGAAATTCACATTTTCGTGACTAGTACAATCTTTACTGACAGATAGAGAGATAGAGAGAAGAAGGAAAGAGAGGCAGATATACAGAGAGATAAAAAAAAACCTTTTCAAATGTGGTTCAAGCGAACACACCTACCGTCCTGGGCTAGGAACTGGTAGACTCGAGCATACGGGCTTAAGTTGGTGTGACTTCGGCTGGAGGACAGCTCACCTGAAAATAAGAAAGCTCAAATTAACGGTTTGATGCTGAAGAAATCGACAACCAGATGAACTGAAAACGTGAAACCAACCTATACACAGAACTAGAAAGGTAACATTTGTAAAGCAAATGCACAATGTTTACCATCACATATGGTCTGCTCTGTTAATTGTTACTCAAACACATTTATATTCATAACACATATATGGCCAGACGGGAGTCCTGCTACAAAATCGCAACATCATGTAACCCGACACTAGTTACCATGGTGACAGAAGTCTGGTTCAGGTCAGTGACCTTATTGGTTTGGAGGAAACATAGCAAAAACAATATGTTTTCCTTCGGTAAACATAATAAATGCTAGAGTCCAAACAACCCACCTGCTAACGCCTGCCAATACGGGCTTGGCTGCAGCGGCGCACCTTCATGGGAGCCCCCTAGCGGTACGGTAAGGGATGACCGCACCGATCGTAAATTCTGTAGGAAGGAAAATTGCCAAAAAATGCTTAGTCTATTCAATGTAAGATCACGTCCGTGAAAATGGAGTGCAACGTGAAGAATGCTTTCTCATAATCATGGGTGTAATTCCCTTTTTATTCTTTCTATTCTCTCCATTTTATCCGTCGTTCAACGCTAATTACCAAGCCTAGAGGAATCAGTTAGCGAGAGTGCAAGGACCCCCGTTACGAAACGGATGGCACCCAAGCTACTAGCTAATTACCTGATGCGAGAATGGACGGATGTCTTCAAGGGTGTAGCCTGGAGCTGCTTCCTGTATCAACTTCTCCCCCCTCTCTCCTAGCCTTAGAGCCATGAGGCGTTGTTTGAGGGTATGCAGATCTCCCAGCCGACTTCGTGCTGCTCCATCGATGGCTCCCAGCCCTCCCAGTCGGTCTGTTGCTGCCCCAGCCCCGAAGGCCATCCTGCCTCGGCCCGGTGCCCGTTTCCCGACGGGGTTTAACCACCAGTACTTCATGGCGGCCGCTTCGTTAAGCACCCATGTTGACAGCAGCAACACCAGTAGACTTGTCGCTGAACCTGAGTCTGAAATTAAACAATGCATATTGTAATACCAGTCCAGAAAAGAACAAGAAACAGTAATCCTTTCAAATATCAGAGTTATCAACAAAGAATTGAGGTGTTCAAAAACTCGTGTTTTAAGAACTATTGAGAACCACCTATCACAGTTGGGGCATCATCACTAGAAATATTTGTAAACAACTCCTGCAATCAAATGTGCAAAGATTGAGTGTAGGCTGTAGCAAGCCGTTCGGTGTGAAGCTACCTGCTGCCGCGCCGCGTGCCTGCGAATCTGGTGTACATGTGTTACGCTGAAGGGTGGTTGTTACCGGCTATACCGATAGAGATACAGAATCTTGTATAATTTCCCTCAAGGCTGAGCATTAAGTAACTAGGCACACGCACGTACTCAAAAAGCTCAAAACGGTTACACAAAAGTTATATACATAATTAACGCGCAGATTGATCAATTTCAAGATGCTTGTTGATCTTATGATTGGTAAAAATCCGAAAATAGCCGGTTTCTTAAATTGCACAGAGACTAAGTGGAGCCGCATTAATTTTGTTCGAGTCATTTTCTGAGTAAGTGTACATGAGAGAGACATGTACGGTACTTTTGAATGCATGTACAAAATGATTGTAAAAACTTATTAACTAAGAAGAAGTAATTAGAATTCATAAAGCTGAAAATTATATCAGTCATGTATTATAACACGGCTCTTTCAGTTCGTTAATTATTCTGTTCCATTTTGCCCAAATTATTACAAAAAGCATATTTTCCTGTTTTGAGGAATGCAAGATCAAAATTATGGTATCAAAATTAAGAGTTTGATTCGTGGCTTGTCCGCGGCAAAAGAAGACGTACTGAAATTGACATTTCCTTTCTTTCTTTCTAAGCTGAAGGACCAGTTAAAGCAGCGTCTTGCTCGCCAATGTCCAAACTGTAGCAGGTATCACGTATCTAAATTAGATAAGCAACTCCTTCCTGTTTTCGACATTTCCCTCTAAATTTGCAATTTCCTTATGCAAATTACATCTTCTGGCACATAGCGCATGTTCTTTGTATTCCTATATCCATTTATATTAGATTTTAAATGATGTTACATGTCACTAAGAAACGGGTGACTATTGAATTAACCAAAGGTGGTGCAAGTCTAGCTAGAACTGGTGTCTACCAGACTTAGATATTTTGAGAATTCCCGCTTGAGAATTCTGGCTTCTGTACATGTAGGTAATGCATATGCCATTGATCTTCAATGTAGACCCTACTGGGAAAGGGTTGGTTTGTGGTAGGGTTGTTAGGGCTACTCAAAACGGATGCCGTAATGAAGATTAACTGTTAGGAGCTCTTTCGATTCGTGACACGCCCTAGGGTACCCAGAACCAGTCAACTCACAGCCAAACACACGATTCCCGATTTTCCATCCCTTTTCCTGTCTCCTTTACTTTGAAGTCTGTCGCTAAATGTTGACACTTTGATAGATTTCCACGGCATCGCTTCCAAGGAATCGTTGAATTACATCTTTAGTCGTGGTGAAATGATCATCTTTGAACAACCTTAAACCACACTGTAGCATTAAGGTGATGAAAGTGACCGTACTGTGGACCATGGCTTGTTTTGACAACAGTTTTGATAACCACAACAGCATTTTGTTTACATGCAACAAGAACCAAAGAATTGTTCAGCTTCAAATTGACAAAATGCTTCCCAACAGCATGGATGCACGAGGCACGAACGTGAGATATCAAGCTGGTCGTAGTAATTTGATCGCCAAACATAATTGTGTAGGGTTAGGTTATTCAACCCAGCCTTCTAACAGAGGACCATGCTGCAATAAACTAATGACGTACCACGAACAAAGCAGATTGCCGCTGGCCAGAATGATACAATGGAGGTTCTATGCGTGTACAAGTTGCTTTTAATTTCGCAGATGAGGTACCTATCACAGTATGGTAGATCCGATTACTCCAAACGTTCTGAGACTTTGATTTCAGACCATAAGATTAAGAGTCATCTCTTCTCATCTCAAGAAGAAATCCAATTTTGACTGCAAAGAATCTTTTTGTAAGTTCTTGTCCAGTATGATTGTGTCAGAGATGAAAGACGAATGATGTAAAACATACGTCACACGGTTTTGTTGCATGTTAGGTGTATGATTCATCTTTGCCGTCTTCAATTTGCAGAGATCATGGAGAATTCATCAGAGAGAGATTGGCTCCATAGTGATCAACATACCAAGAAAACAACAAGGGTATGTAGATGGGCACAGCAGTTGTTGTTACTTGCAGAATCAAGGGTTTCTCTAAACGCATGTCAATATTGCGATGTTTGAAATTTATTCATAAGCTTCAATTGAGTCCTGTGATAGTGAAACGACGTTAAACAACTTCACAGAAGAGACTATGATGATCTTGATCATAAGTTACCCGTTGACATGATTTCAATGAAAAATAGTCTTTCCACAGTCATTATGGTAATTGCTGATGAGAGATGTGGAAGCTCAGTGCAGAGTTGACGTATCTCCGTTCAACCGAGACAGTTGATAATGTAAAACCTTTCCGTATACGTGGCAATCTGAAGGGTCCACTAATATAACAAGGATCACAGAATAACGTGCTATACTCCTTCAAGCGGTAAAATATGCACTAGTTATTATTTCTTAGCAAGAAAACTACGTATGTAAGCTGGATGTAAAACTGGGCAAGATTTTATCCATTGAGACCTCGTGGTGTTCCGGCTTTAGAACTTGGCTGGGTCTCCAGATGTCAGCACTGTCAAGATGCCTGTAGCAGTTAGAGAATCTGCTCGTTTGCCAGCACAAAAACGAGCTTCTTTGAGCTTCACATGTTCAGTGAGTCAAATTCTCCCTCCAGGGAAAACTTTTGTTACAGAGTTAACATACGTGAAGGTCGCCCTCGTATCGCCCGTAATCATCTACTGAATCTGCAACTCCGTTCAAGTTTGACGAAGATTTTTCGTACTTTCGGGGAGAATCCAGAAAGATGGTTTGAACTGTTGCCCCCTATGCGATAATTCAGTGAAGTCGTGGCATAAAATAGTCTCTTATCAGTTAAATCCTTGATAATAATAATAATAATAATGATGGTTTTCACTAGTGCGTTTCTCTTGATTTAGCGTCTGCACAAGTTTATGCAAGGTCCATAGACTCACGTAAAAGACACTCAGAACTTTCCAGCATCAATCAGTCACTTGACATCAGTGGGCTGGCTTAGATCTAGGATTTGTAAATGTGAAACAACCCTAATACACAGCAGATCGGGATCTCATCAAAAATCGCCGATTCTACGTATACCAGCGGCCAGATCGGAGTCTCTACCCTGACATACGCCTTACGTGGTCTGGTAATTGAATTTGGCTCCATCTCTTTATTTTCATGACAATGAAAATGTAAGAACAGCTATACTTTATGATCAAAGATTTGTCTGTATTACCTAGGTATATGAAGTAGAGAAAATTGTAGATTGCATCATTCTGTAAAGTTTAACTCTTTCTCTCTTTGTTGTACGTTATTTCATCAGAATACATATATCTGGCTTTATAGGTGGTTTTCAAATAGCCCTAGAGTCTCTGCGATATTTCAAACGATTGGTACGGTTCAGATGATCCGACAGGACTTTGAAAGTGCATTTTCTACCTTATTTGTGAAAGGTTTGGGGTGTGTTGATTTCTGCAATTGCTGTTGCCAAATTTCTGAAAATCCGTACTGTTGGATGGTTCTGATTTCGCCCAAAGACATCTTATATACGTCTTTTGGCCTAAACATAGCCTTAACGGAGATTCTTTGTACGCGTTCAACTAATCAACATTATTTTCTCTCTGGTTGCTCGGGCAGATAACCTGGCTAAGAATCGCCTTGCCTCGCCACTTAGATGAAGGGAAACGAAAGAACTTACTTTTCTGAAGGAACATGTTTCGGCTTGGTTCCCTGTAGTAGTGGTACTTGTTGTCCTGCCCTCACGACTGCCGGGTCTCGCCTGCTCTCACTCACTCAGATCGGCACGACGAAGCGCCCGACTTTATCTGCACGACTTAGCCCACGTCCGCTCTCTGGTTCCGGGGTACGTGCCCACGACGCTGCCTCTCCTCTTACTTTCCCGTTAAGCTATCAAATAGGAGGTTATAAACGTTTACCCTGCAGTAGGCTAATGCCTTGGACTTACGCCTGCTAGCATCCGATGAAAAACAGTTTCTTTCTTTGCATTAGAAAGGAAGAGAAATCGGAGATCTTTATACACCCTAAGGGTGAGGTGATGCTCATATGCAAATCTATTCTAATGACATGCGGCGTGCTAGCTCACCAACGTGCACAGCCCCCGCAGAAGATGTCATTATCGGTTAGAAGTTGAAGAGGGTCTTTTTGCACGCACATCCGACGTATTAAAACTGGTCTGCGTCATTTTTTGTCTTAAGGGCCCATCTGTAAATGGGTGGTTTG